ATGCCTGATCCCTCAAGCATCTTTGGTGGCTGACGTTCTGTGGCTTATTGCTATACTGCCTATGTGCTAAAACAGATACATAGTGTCCCTGAGCACAGATATGGCTCTTGAGTGATCTGCAACACTTTTTTTTTGTTTTTGCAACATTTCAATAATGATTATTTTCTCTCCAACTACTGTATCCTCTTTAATGAAACTCCTGCAGCCTGCCTCATATTGTAAATAGACCACATCGGCATTTTGAAGACAAAGGTCTTCATCTTGGGCTGCTTTGAAGGAAAAAGTTAATGTTACATTTTACTAAAAAAAAATAATAATAATGAAAATCAATCTGCCTTTAGAGTTTTTTGACTTTTTGTTAAAAATCATTTCAGCTTTCAAGAATTCTTGTCAGAGGCAAGGAACCAAAACCAAATTAAGTTAGTTGGCCGGTCTGACTTAAATCGTAGTGCATAGTTTACCACGCCTTCCCCATGTAAAGACTGGCACTCTTTAACAGACAGTGGTAACTGATTTTCCCTTTGTCCAAATTGCATGCAGATTTGCTTGAGAGGAGGAGAGGTAAAGAAGGCACAGGCTGGCACAAAACGACCATCCTACCTGATAAAATGAGACCTCTGCACTGTGGACAGCTCCACCCCTTTGTCTAGACAGGAGAATCAGTAATTCAAGGGCAAGTTTTCAAAGTGGAAAAAGATGCTCATTCGTGTCTGGATGAATAGCCGGGACTTCCACTTGCTAAATATTTGGTTGTAGTACAAAGGAAAGTTGCTCCTCATTTCGTGGATTAGACTCAGAAAGAAAGAAAGGTTCCCCTTTCCTGGTGACTGCTCTGAGACCATCTAGGGTGGCCCTAAACTCAGAGACCCAACCTCTGAGCTGGCTTCATGGGCATGTGACCAGTGTAGTCACACTGCTCAGGGGGGCAGTACTTGGGGTCCATTGCCATGCACTCGCTGTCTTGAAATTCTTAATAATTTTAGCCTTGAATGTGTGTTTGGTAAGTGAAATCCGATGGGACAGGGGGCTTGTGCAGAGGGCTGGGAGCCTTGGGTCACATGTGGTCCCTGGTCCCACTTCCTCGCTGCCTCCCAAGGATGGGAGGGTCAGTGTTGGGCATGTGCCCTGCCACATTTCAGGGCGAGGAAGAGGAAACAGTGCTTTCTGTCTTGGGCAGGCAGCACCATGGTGTGTTTCATGGACAACTTGGTGGGAAGTTCACCCACCTTGGATACCGACTGCATCCCAGTGTAGAGGTGGCGATCCACTGAGAGGCAGGGCTGCCAGCTGTGGGAAGGGGGCATTGATTACCCTGTTCCTCCTGGGGCCCTACATTTTCATTTTGCACTGGGCTCCCCAAATTATGTGGTTGACCTTGTTTAGCCTGATCACTAACAGACAGCTTTGCAGTCAACAGAGCCATGGGGGACCTGAGAAAGGCTGTCAAAGTTTAGTGTCCATATGCATCCACTCTTTTGCAGCAGAGTGAAAGATCTATCTGCCTCTTACAGTCTTTCCTTCCACCGCTAAATATCATAATATATATACAGCATATACTTGTGTGTGACATGGGACAAAAGACTTAACTTTTCTGGGCCTCAGTATGTGATTCTCTCAATAGGAATAAAAAGTACTACTATCATAAACATAAAATAAGATAACATAGCTAAGTACTTGGCATAGTACCAGGGACATAGTAGATGCTCAATAAATTATAGTTGCTAGTATTATTATGATTATCATTGTTATTTATTATAGATCCTGAAGGCAATCGCAAAACTATTTTGCTTAATACTTTGATGGGCACACATTATAGTAAACTCATTTGGAGTTCTGGTCCGCAGGGTTCTTACAGTCTCTCAGATTCACTAGAAATGTTCAAGAAGGAGAAAAAACTCAGGCAGAGGAAAATTATATAACAAGAAAGGATCTTGGCTTTGTCCATCAAGACACACACACAGCAGCTAGGTGTACACAAAATAGAGAGGATGCCAGGTAAAGCATGTCACTTTCTGTTTTGCTGGAATGCATGGAAGCAAGGGATTGGCTGAATGTGGACGATGAAGCATGTGATGTGGTGATTTACAATCCACATACCTCCAGTCAGTGATGGCCTGCTGTTCAGAGCACTAGCCTCCTGCTAGTGACGGTCACTAATGCAGTTGTTCAAGGGAACAGAGAGCAGATTACCCACTTATGTAGCCCGGTACTCCTGTGGAAATATTCTAACATATCTTTGGACTCCCAGGAAGTAAAGGAAGCTGCTTTACAGCTCCATCATCACTGTTATTTTCATATTATTTTCATAAATACCTGAGCACCAGCTGTATACCAGGTGCTTTTTATCTTCTCTCTAATTCTCATAAACAAATAGGGCAACCATGCCATTATATATAAGAAAACTTGAGGCTCAGCTTAGTTGAATGATTCAACTAAGACTTGCTAGTTAGTGCAAAAGTGACGGCTTGAATCCAGTTCTGTCTGACTTCAAAATCATGCATCTTATTTTAATTGATCACAAAGCCTCTCTCTTAGCTATATAGTGAGTAAACTCTTTGAAGGAGTAATAACAATAGCTAACACTTTATTTAGCTTTGACACAGGCACTGTTCTAAGCACTTGCCATATATTGACTCACTTAATCCTGGAGATGGCCCTATGAAGTAGGAAACACTATCCCCATTTAACAGATGAGGAAATAGAGGCACTGGGAAGCTTAGCAAACTGGTCAAAGTCACTACCAGTAATTGACAGAGCCAGGTTTTAAATAAAATGCAATGTGGCTTCAGATTCTGTGGTCAGCCACTAGGGCTAAGGAGCCAGAATTTCAGGAATTATTTAAAAGTGCTAACTGAAAAAGTGTAATTTGATTTTCTAAAATAATATACCGAGACATATACATCCATATGAATGTCCTTTAAAGTATTAGTCAAAATGCTTCCACAATGTTTTTCCAAGCCTGAAGCAAATAATAATGATGATAATAATAAAAATAGCAGCTAAATTAATTTTATATCTATTATGTGCCCCGGCACTGTGTTAAATATGTTTTACATATGTCATCTCATTTAATGTTTATGATACTAGTACCAATGATCTATACAACAGAATAAATTACTGAGACCCAGAAAATTTAAATAACTTTCTTCACTCCACACAGCATTTACATTCTAGTTCTGGGTTACACTTGGACTGTCTGCATCCAGAATCCACATTCTTCACCACTAAGCTAATACTCATTCTTTTAGATATTTTTAATGCTGGAAAACTTTATCTTCAGACATCAGACTGGACTTGTAAAAACTGGCAGAAGTTATTTGTGACTAAGCTTGAAGTGTTATGAATTTCAGATACTTGAGATTAATTTTCCATCAAAACTACCCTTTGATGAAAATGTAGACTGTTTTTCTCTTGTGATCTATAAACTGTCTGAAATCAGTCCTCAAAAGACATATCATATGCACGTTTGGACAGTGGCAGCATCATGGTAATTAGAGTCCCCACGGTGACAGCTTTGGAGGGATGCTCTTACAAGCATATTCAACTGAATGTTTAGAATGGAAATGATGACCTGGTGCTCACCATATGCCTGTGGCACTTAACGACATGGTGCTTGCAGGCACCGTATGAGCCGCTGTGAAGGCACTGGTGTACCACGCTATAGTGATTATTGCCCAGTAAGCTATTTCCTCATTTGTGGCACATTTCTTATAGGGAGAACTTGCATGACTTTTAATGCATGGTTTCAGAGAATCTACATTGTATATGGCTCAATCCCATATTGTGAATGGGGACTGTACTGAGTTGGGGACACTTAATGATCTTGTGCAGGCAAATACTTCCCTTCGGTGGGTGAGGTAGTTGACAAATCTCTATTTCCCTTAGTTCTGTAAAGGCCAAGACTAACTAACCCATCCTTTGTTTTCCTAAGCTTTGCTGGAGGTTGCAAATAGCATCCCTTTCTTTCTAATATATAGCTCAAAATTGGTTTTGATTTAATATATAGCTCAAAATTAATTTTCTTAGGGAAGAACTGTGAAAATAGCTCAGCCAGACATTCTTGATAAAGGAATTGTGGCAGTAGGGGGAAAGGGAAAGGGAAGAAAGAAGGGAGGGGAGAGGAGAGATAAAAGAAGAGAGAGATGGCTTTATAGAACATTTTTAGACTCACTCGTGTGAGGTGACTCCCCTTGTATTTTGCAGTATGCATCTCTTAGAAAAATTTCCTCCCCCGCTTGGAAAACTCCATGGCATGCCTAAGAATAGCACTCCCAATCGTTGCACTCACAGCTAACTCTCTCTCTCTCTCTCAACAGATAGAAGTAAGATTTTTAGAAGACAGCATTTCTAGAATTTCGAAAACATATGCTATACTTTTCTCCTAGTAAAATCTGTCAGCCAAGTAGGGAGCGGTCTATGATGAAAGCTGAAATTAGAAGTGACTACTCTTAGAAGTAAAATTTGTATATTTCCTAAAGCTCCCTTTCCAAAAAATTTTTTTAAAAATGCTTTTCCTATGGAATCCTTCTATTGAGAACATTACTGAACACAGCTGCTTGGAGAAAAAGCTCTCAATTTGATGGCAAGAGTTCTGTTAGAACAGGGAAGTAAATATGCTGGGATAATTATTTCAAATGCTAGATACCAAAAGAACAAAACAAACCTACAGGTAACATATTTTTCACTAAAGGAAAAAAAGGGTTGGAAAAATATGTCCTAATGGAAAATAACATCATAAACAGTGGATAACTATAGAAAGCTATTTCTTTTATTATTAATAATAATAGTCACTGTGTCTGACCTCATACCAATTATTTAAAAATTCCCAGGAGGAAGGCTATCTCTTCCCCATCTTATAGAGGAAGAGCCGAAACATACAAGGGCAAGGTCACCCCACCATGAAGTGGCGGAGGTGAGATTAGGCCCAATGACTAAATCCCAGGCTCATAACCACTGCTTTGCAGTAACATTTGGAAGTGACTGAATGGCTTTCTGATTACCATGGCTTTGTTGGAATGGCCACCTCCTTGGAACTCAATGGTCCCGAAAGCATCCGTCGGGCTGAGCTGAGTGTGCTTGCTGATGGACCATTTCTCGGACTGGATGTCATTCCGGGAGAGGCGACTTTCATTTTTCTCATTCTGAAGCACAGAGATACTGGGAGTGAGGCCAACATGTTGGCCTATTAGACGCCCACAGCAACACCTAGAATATAAGAGGTTCGAGTGAGCCCCTGTATGAGCCACTATTTGGAACACACACTTAAGACAATCTGCTGGAGAAATCTGCAATTCCTGTCAACCCACTGAGTCCCTTCTCAGGTGGAGTCCCATCACGTGTCTGTATCAGGCAAATGGTGAAGTTGGACTTTACGTGACATACACACTTTCTTTTCTTTCCTCCTTCTTCCCCATTTTCCATTAGCTGCATAAGCCTCCTTTCCTCTCCATCCACCCCTTTCACACCTGACGTATTGTTCACAACTGGACATCTGCAAACAAAAGTTCTCTAGATTTTTCTACTTCGCAGTCCTCCTGTCTATCAAATCTTGCACAAGGGACACTGATGAGCTCCAAGGGAAGAATTTTAACATGCACATTTAAGTGAGGAATCTCACTTACATGTGAGTCACAATCTAACTTGTCTCTTCCCAATTGACATTTGCTGTCAAATATCCAATCCTGACAATAAAAATCTGCAGACTTAAGTGTTCTTGAAGAAACAATGAAAAAAAAGTTCAGGAAATATTTGAAAACTTAGAATTCTCTCCTTCTATCATGGTAGTGTCCTTCATACATTACTACCACCGTTGTTGCAACTATTAGTAATAGTAGCTATGATAGACAGCTATCGTTTATTAAACACCAGCAATTTAGCATCCATTTTATATATGAAATATTGTAGTTTTTAGGTAATTTCCCCAAGGTTATACAGTTGGTCTCTACGACTCGGTAGCCTATATTTTAAACTCCTTCATTAAATTGCCTGTTCACAAAGGCACTTCCAGACATATATGTGATACTTTATCCCAAATGCTTCCCACCTGACATATTGTTGAACTTCAGGAAGGTTAGCTGGGTAGTAAAAATGAGCTTGAACAGGAATCTGAAGGTCTGCAGTCTAATTACTAATCTGATAGGAGACTTTTATTTAAAAGTCATTTTTTTTTAATTATAGGAGAGCATGTTGGTACAAACTAAACATTTAAATGAGATGCTTAGAAGAGAAAGCCAGTGAACATAACAAAAAAATATAACCCGCTGTTGTATACAGTGACTAATTTCTTCTGTAACCGTATATATGCTATTCTACATAGGCTCTCAGACTAAGAATTAACTGTAGGCATGGCATATTATGTAGTGTACATATATAAGATTGCATCAGAGATGTCCATAAAGATGTCCAAAGCAACAATAAAAAAAATCTTTAATTCGACAGTGGTTGCCTTGCAGAGGGTAGTGATTACTCTTGTAGTTTGTTTCTATAATTATTATTTCATGTTCTCAATACATCAGAGACAGCAAGATTACCTATGGGGGTCTTTGGTGCTGGGTATGATGTGAACACATTCTCTTTTATAAAATGCTCTTTCTATCCAGGACTTCTGAGCCTGAAAAAAAAAAAAAAAGAGGAAAGGTAAACATAACTTTTAAATAGTTTTGACTAGAAACCAAAATTTTATAATCACATGATAGACTAGTATATTATAAGCTGAATTGAAATTGTGGTTATTTCTCCCATAAACATTGCATATAACAAAATAAATTACTCCCAGAACCTGCGGATTAGGTTATTTAACATTATAATACTAAGAGTTAAAGGAAATGACCATAAAAAAAATGATGAAACCACATACAAATCATACTGATTTTTGAAGAATAGAAAGACAATGCTATTTGCAGAGAAAATGAATTTGGAGGGATAGAACAGTAGGTTTGAAGCCTTACAGAAAACAAGTGTTCAGTAGCGGGAAGAAATACATCTAAATATGTGCTGCATGAGGTTTTCATGGCTGACACTTCCACTGGATTTTTCTTGCAGAAGAGAAGAAAAATGGCAGGGGAACTGCATAACTCAAAAGCCCTAATATATCACTACACTTTTCCTAAGACCAAAATTAGCAGTGCTTAAGTAAAGAGGGGGAGAAAACAGAAATGAACACATGAGAAAGATAAATGTCTTCGTCATAGTCCAACATTGCACAGGTTTCTCATCCCACATGCCTTTAAGCACAGCAAGTACAGCTTCTTAGGATGGACTTTGTTGGGACTGTCCACTCAGAAGTCCTGCCACCAAGATCGGGTTCCCAGTTGGACAAAGGAGGTTCCGGCAAACTGTGCGATCTTTGTTCCAAAGCAGCGTGTCCATCCTACATTTCCGCACCCTTTTCTTCTCAGCATTTGAAATAGTAAAGGAGTCTCCCATGAAATCCAAGCTGCTCCAAAGATCCCTTCTCTAAGTATTTAAGACCAAAGTTGCTACAGCAACCTGCACTATTATTTCTATGTGGCATCATCTTCTTTCTAAAACAGCATCGGCACTAAATTCATATTCTTAAAATATACATGGCTAACGCACGACTGAGCTGTTTATTGACATGCCTCAATGTCGGGTGTTAACTGCTCCGAGCCCCCATTTGTTGGTTGTAATTGGTCTGGACTTGGCAACGACTCGAATGACTGCATAAGCCGGGCTCAGTCCTGGTTTGCTCTCAGCCCCTCAATCTTGCGCCTGCCCTCTCCCTCACAATGGGGGTCTACACAAGCATGTGGCACTGAAGGCAGTTATTGTCTGATACTCATGACAGTGCACATTTTACAAGTAGCGCCATGGGGGAGGACTGAAGGGCACAAAGGAGCTGCATCCTGTTTCAGTCACGGTCACAGTTGGTTGCATGATTTCTGGGTGATCATGCATTGTCACCCACACTGCCTCAGAGACTCTGATCCAGGTGGACCTCTGCACCTTCATACCACAAAGGACACATTTGCAGTTCTGTTTGTCAGCTGGACATGAAACGAGTCCCAATGTCTATTCTCAAAGGTTTTTCTTCTCAAGCATGCAGGAAAAACTAGTGGCTATATCTTTGCAACAGAAATGAGTTTAGCAGCATAGAAAGATAAAGATACAGACTGATTTTATCTCTGTAAGTTAAACTATTCATAGGCCATGATTTCCCCTAGACACTGAGTACTTTCACTGATAACATCTCTTGGCAGAAAGAGGGTAAAATGTTCCTCCCTGGACATTTGAAACCAACTCTCCTTATACCCACCTCAGACAGCAGAGAAGGGAGAGGGTGCTTTCCTTTTCTCCTCGTGGCCCACTTTGGCCAGCATTCAGGAGGATCTTTTGGGGGGGCATCTAGGAATTTCAGGGCCTGCTGATCAACTCCCTGACAGAAAGTGGGAAGAGCAGTATCATGGGTAGAGCATGAGGTTTGGACTGGGAAAAAGTGGTGTGAGTGGGACCCTGCAGTGTGGAGTTGGTCACATGATTTCTCTGACCCTCAGTTTTCCTCATCTATAAAATGGGCACAACAGTAATACCTGACACACAGGGTTGTTACTGTTACTTTTGGGTGTCATGATTTCACTTCAAGAAGAGGGACGAGGCCTGGGTTGATTCTGGTACTAAAAGTTCAGTTGTAGGTTCAGATGAGGGTACTACTAAACTGCTGAAGCAGATCGGATCTAGATTGAATCTCTCTTTGTGTTGGGGATGACAGGCACTCGGAAGGCCTGGTGGGCCGCTAACAAGGTAGATAGAAAAGTTATCTAAGTTCTCTGAGCCTCGTGTACAACATATGGATAATCATTGCTACTTTGGCAAGTTATTGTGATAATCAAACCAGACAATTCAGATAAAGCACCTGGCATATAGTAGGAACTCAATAGATAATAACAATGGCTGACATTTATTAAGGGCTTATTATGGGCTTGGCATTGTGCCATATTTGTATTATCTCTGTGGGTCCTCAAAAGAACTCTGTGAAGGAAGTTCTACCATTACATCCAGTTCGCTCATGAGGAAGTTGAGGGGGAGAGATGCAGCAGGTGAGTTTTGAAGCCAGGGTTTGAATTTGAACAGTTTGACTATAGAGTTCACACTCTTACCTGTTCTGCTAAACCGCCTCTCCACATTAGATATTATTGATATTAAATACCCTTGCAGTGGGTAGTGCCATCTGAACATGTCTGGGAGTTCCTCGGTATTTGGACAGAGTTGGACTTCTAGAGACATGTCTTACAACCGGTTCCTACTTGCATCTTTCACCTTCTGACTTCCCCCTTCCAGTGATCCCATGTGGAGGAATGAACACTTTGTCATCTCTTCCTCCTCTCTCCTTGGGGTAAAGGATGGCAGAGGGACATTAGGAAGACATTAGAATATGAGAAAGAAGTGGAGCCATTACAATGACCACAGCAAAGAAATGTAATCATGACAGGATGCCTAATGTTAAAATCAGGGGGACCATGACAAAAGGATTAGACTTTTCAAGGACACCTTCACTTGTTCTCTGGCTCATGGATCCCAGTTTCAACTCGGGAGGCCCCGGCAGTTTTAGCCAATTGGTCCATGGTGAGAACTACTGCATATGGACTGTCAACTTGTTTGTTAGTCTTCGAGTACAAAATCATTTGACTTGTGTGCAGTTTAGCAACTTAATTAGCTCCCCAAAGGTGAAAAGCTACCTCATTGTTAGTAAAAGGATTGAGGATCAGTTTCAATTTCTTATTAGTGGATTAATCATTTTTCTCACAAAGGCACACACAGTTGAGAAGAAAACTAAGGAGAAATGTAAGTAAAAATTTTTCCATCATTCATAATTGAATTGGATTCTTTCTCTCTTTTTTTTTTTTGAGAAGGAAAGTATAATACATAATAGAAAGAATGCATGTACAACCCATAAATTAGGAATCCTACAAAATACCATGCACAATTTACTATGCTGTATTGTGGGCTCAGCTCTATTGTACTTTCATTCAGATCTTTAGTTGTGGACAGATACTAGATTTTTAAAATTATTTTCTTGGAGAGGGCATATTTGATGTATAATCATGGTTTAACTTGTTGCCTAAACTTATTCCCTTTTCTTTTGTTCAAAGGCTTTGAATTACTCGCATGAAGCATTCTACTTTGTTGCAGCATCCAACTAAGTTAGCTCAGAATAGTTATCCTTGTTATTAGAAAACATAAAATAGTTTTGACATGCCATGTTTCTAACCGGCCTTTTAACTCTCTTCGAAAGCAAAACTTACAGTGTGTCCTAAAATCTTTTCTTTTTAAATATGCTTTGGAAGTCTCATGCACCCTTAGAAAAGACGGCTTCTACCAGCCCTCCAAAAATCACTTCTGCACATTCTTTTCTAAAGGTAGAATGGTCACATAGCCATGACTGAGTTTGTGAAGGGCTATTTTTTTCCTTGTCTTTCTGCATTATCAGTCATGTGTGATGTGTAATAGGAAACAGTTTTTCAAAGGCTAATAATTAAAGGACATCTGATTCAAAACAAAAATGAGGACATTCACATTTTGAACAAAGTATAATGATTACTCTCTAAGAGTAAAGTAAGCATTAATTTTCAAAGTTAAATGTATGATCCATAAAGCATCAAAATAATAAACAAAAAAAGCTGCATTTAAAAAGAAAAAAAACATCAAGTCATTTTGTTTAAGCAGGTTTCAACTCTTTTTCACAAAGGCTCTGCTACAAACTTTCGTCCCCAAACTACTCTGAATCTTCTTGCTGTACACTTCCCGCTAGCGACAGAATCAAGAGTTTCTGCAGGCAGGGACAGTTCAGAGGCGCACACAACAGAGTGTGCATTAAATCCTTCTCCTAAAAGCCATGGCAAGTGCTATCCCCATTCACTCTTAACAAGGCAACTTACAGCAGGACAACAACCCAGACTAGGAATGGCAAGAGTAGAAAAAAGAGTCTGCTAAGTTTACAGGAACAAATCACAAGGAAAGTTTCAGCACACTTGTCATTGTCACACTCTCC